TATATATTAATTATTATATTTTTACTCAATAAGCGATATAAAAAAAAATTGCTTAAAAATAATACGCATGATAATAAATGTGTTGCGTATAATTTTAATTATCTTTACAAAATGAAATTTTGATTTTAGTACTTTAATATTATCTCTCGCTCTCTCATTCAGCATAATTTTTAAAAAAAGTAGTGAAACGTTAAATTTAATAGGCCAGTTTAATTGGATACAACGGGCATGTAAAACTTGTGTTTCTGCGTGTCTCTGGTGTGTTTGAAAGGCGCCTGTTTAGCTTCCAAAAGAGCAGCTGGACACGGTCCTCTGTGCCTAGGAACGTATTCTTTTTTATACATGCTGGAACTGACAGTACTACCATCACCCAAATTAATGTGAGATGCGTTCGTTTGCTTCTGGACTCTTTCTACTTTTTGAGTACTTTGTGAGAAATTTCCATAGCTTTTTGCCTCGCTTTGTGAATAAAATTTCCCGCCGACACTCAGGTTATCTTGCCGAATGATTCTCTGCGGGCGTTCATAGCTGGAAGATGCCCAAGGATTGACTTCTTTAGAACTGCGATGCAGCGAAGTCAAGCTACGTCTATCGTTGCTCTGGCTCGAATTACTGATATATTGTCCGCTCTCGGCCAGATTTGAAATACTTTTGCGCTGATCTGCCGCCGTCGACGAGATCGTATGAAGCGCTTCGGTGGAAGAAGCTACGCCACGTCGATGGAGTACTGCATTGTTGATGTCAGCTGACGAAGAGGATATTACGTTCTTGCGGTGGTGACCGAACTTCGTGGCTGAATCTACGTGTGATCGTTCTAAAGTCGTTTGCTCGTTGATTGATTGTCGGAATTCCGGGCTGCTTGAATTATATCGTGCCTGAGTGGAGATTGTGTGCTGCTCGTGTTGCTTTGTCGCGGATCTTTGTCGAGTTTCCATATGTTGCGCATTCACATAATCGCGCTTGGTCATTTCCTGATGATGACGCTCGACGTGCTGTTGTTGCTGATGCTGCTGATGTCTATGGTGCTCGCCGTGTGTGGCGTCGATCGCGTAACGAGATGTATCTTCCGCTCGCACGATTTGCCCTCGGTGATTTAGTCCTTCCGTGAATGATCTATCCTCGATTGTTCGACGACTCTGCATGTTCTGCGATCGCAAATGTTGCTCACTCAAATGAGTTCTTTGATGCTGTTCATGATGCTGATTAGACACTAATTGAGAAGTCGTTTTTTGTGAATCCACTTGTGATGAAACATCAATTGGTTGAACGGTACGATGATCCGTAATATGTTGTATTTGTTGATGATGAGAGACAGTTTGAGCATTGGCAGCTCTCTGATCTGACTGAGCAGAAGTAGTTGTACGTTTTACGGTCGTAACGACAGTTCCATCTGCTAAAGTTTGCGATTCCACGGTCTTCCTAGTATCAGATTCTATTTGACTCATTTTAGCAGCGATATCTTTTCCTGTACGTTTCGTGTAAGTATTGTAGTTACGTTGATTCGTCGTGGTCATTACGGTGGTGTCATCACCAAGCGAAATAGACGATTCCATGTGTCTTCGACGATTTACCGTTTTACCAGCAGGAGAAGGTTCATGCTTAGAAGGTGTGTAAGTATCTTTACTGGTTGTTTTTGTTTCCATAGTGCCGGTGCTAAGCTTTAAATTATCTTCGTGTGATTTAATATCCGCTCGTTCTCCACGAACTATTGTGTAAGTCGACTTGTGAGACGTTGTGTCTTCGAAATCACCCAACATCTTTAGATTATCTTCTCTTTTTACGATTTCGATTTTTTCTGCTCTTTTGGGAATGAAGTCGTCACGTGGGCGTCCGATGAAATCACCTTCTGGCTTTAAATTATCGGCGTGACGAATCGGCGACCGTCGTTCGCCGGGACCAATCTTATCCGGAGTTCTACGTTCAAAGTCACCCTCTGGCTTCAAATTATCCGGGTGCTTGATTGGAGTTCTTTTCTCCCCGGGCCCAATCACGATCTTCTGAGGTCTGTCGAAATCTCCTTCCGGACGTAAATTGTCCGTACGCTTTTTAATTGGTACGCGTTCACCAACCACGTGCACGTAATCATCCTTGCGACGCACGTCGATAAATTCGCCTTCCATTCTGAGATTATCTTCATGTCTCTTAACATCCACTTTCTCCACTCTCGTGATTTTCTTATAGTCATCTCTCGAGCGATGAGTGTCTATTTGTCCCTCCATGCGCAGGTGATCTTCATGCCGACGTATTTCTACCCGATCTCCATTTATATATTTATAATCATCTTTCGGAGATACTTTCATTTCACCTTCGGGACGAAGATTGTCCTGAGGTTTTTTAACCGGCGACCGATCTCCTCTCTTTGGAATAAAATCGTCTTTAGGCACTATGTAGAAATCTCCTTCAGGATGAAGATTATCCTCGTGCTTGATCAGAGTTCTTCGCTCAGCCGGTTCTACTTTCTTCGGGGAACGTTTCGCGAATTCTCCTTCGGGATGAAGATTATCCTTTGGCTTCTTCACATCTGCTCGATCGCCTTTTAGCGGCGTGTCTTTCTTCGGTCTGCCAACAAATTCTCCCTCCGGATAAAGATTATCGGGATGTTTAATGGGTGATCGTCGTTCGCCAGGACCAACGAATGATTTTGCTGGTCTTTCGAATTCACCTTCAGGCTTCAAGTTATCTTTCGGCTTCTTGACGATTGCTCGGTCACCTTTAATAGGCACAGTTTCCTTCGGTCGTTGTACAAAATCGCCTTCTGACTTTAAGTTATCAGGATGTTTAATAGGAGATCTTCTCTCTGCGGGACCTACCGGTGCTTTCTCTGGTCGTTCAAAATCACCCTCAGGATAAAGATTGTCTTCACGCCTAATAACTTCGCTACGTTCACCATGAGTAACTCGATAGTCATCTCGTCGATGAATATCAACGAATTCGCCTTCAATCTTTAAATTATCCTCATGATGAACAATATCCACACGTTCGCGTTTAGACGTAGTTACGTAATCATCTCGAGATCGATAAACATCTATATCGCCTTCCATCTTCAAATTGTCTTGATACATCACGATTTCAGTTTTCTCTCCTTTAGTTAGTTTATAATCATCCTTGGGTTTTCCTATGAATTCTCCTTCAGGCTTCAAATTATCTTTAGGCTTCTTTTGAATTGGTCGATCAACGCGCTTGGGAATAAAATCATCTTTTGGTCGACCAATGAATTCACCCTCTGGATGCAAGTTGTCTTCGTGTCGAATCGGTGTACGTCGTTCTGCTGGGCCAATCGACGATTTCTGAGGTCTTACAAAGTCGCCTTCAGGTCGCAAATTATCTCTTGGTTTGGTAACATCTGCCCTTTCTCCTTTGATTGGTATCTTTTCCTTTGGACGTTTTTCAAATTCACCTTCTGGCTTCAAATTATCTGCATGTTTGATCGGAGTTCTTCTTTCGGCTGGACCAATTGGTTTTTTCTCCGGTCTTTCAAAGTCACCCTCTGGGCGTAAATTATCTTGGGGCCTTCTGATATCGACTCTTTCACCTTTCTTTGGTGCTTCTTCTTTTGGCCTAGATATGAATTCGCCTTCAGGTTTCAAGTTATCGAGTGGCTTCTTTATAATCGGTCTTTCAGCAGGTTTGAATTTTTCAGGCTTAGGTCTTTCGAATTCACCCTCTGGTTTTAGATTGTCAGAATGTTTTATCGGAGAACGTCGCTCAGCAGGGCCAATCGGTTTCTTTTCCAGTCTTTCAAAGACTCCTTCTGGTTGCAAATTATCTTGCGGTTTTTTGACATCGGCTCTTTCACCTTTCTTCGGTGCTTCTTCTTTCGGTCTAGATACGAATTTGCCTTCAGGTTTTAAGTTATCATGTGGTTTCTTTACAACCGGTCTTTCAGCAGGCTTGAATTCTTCAGGCATAGGTCTTTCAAATTCACCCTCTGGTTTTAGATTGTCAGAATGTTTAATCGGAGAACGTCGCTCAGCAGGGCCAATCGGTTTCTTTTCCGGTCTTTCGAAGTCTCCCTCCGGTCGCAAATTATCTTTCGGTTTTCTCACGTCAGCTTTCTCACCCTTTTTAGGTGCTTCTTCTTTAGGCCGACGTACGAAATCGCCTTCTGGTTTTAAATTATCTTCTGGCTTTTTAATTTCAGGTCTTTCTGCTTTCTTAGGCGAATAATCGTCCTTCGGACGACCTTCGAATGGACCTTCCGGTTTTAAATTGTCACGATGCTTAACGACATTCATACGTTCGCCTTTAATGACTTTGAAATCATCCCGTGTTCTCATATCGATAAATTCTCCTTCCATACGTAAATTATCCTGATATTTAGTAATTTCAGTCCTTTCGTGTAATAAGAAATCAGTATATTCGTCTCTGGATCTATAAGTTTCTATATCTCCTTCCATTCGCAAGTTATCTGTGCGCTTCACTACATCCATACGTTCGCCACGCACCGGTCGATAATCATCCTTCGGTCGACCTTCAAATGGACCCTCTGGTTTCAGATTATCCTCTGGTTTTTTAACTTCGGCACGATCACCTTTAGTGGGCGTAAAGTCTTCTTTAGGTCTACCAATAAATTCACCCTCCGGCTTAAGATTATCTGGATGTTTCACTGGCGTACGTTTCTCAGCCGGAATATATTTTTCAGGATGTGGTCTTTCAAAATCGCCTTCGGGTTTCAGATTATCTGTTGGTTTTTTGACTTCTGGCCTTTCTGCTGGATGATAACTTTCTTGTTCCGGTCGTTCGAACTTACCTTCCGGCTTCAAATTATCTGAATGTTTAATCGGAGTGCGTCGTTCTGCTGGACCAATAGGTGCCTTTTCCGGTCTTTCAAAATCGCCTTCGGATTTGAGATTATCCTTTGGCTTTTTAACATCAGCTCTGTCACCTTTTCTTGGTACTTCTTCTTTTGGTCGAGAGACGAATTCGCCTTCCGGTTTTAAATTATCCTGTGGTTTCTTTACTACCGGTCTTTCAGCAGATCTAAATTCTTCAGGTTTAGGTCTTTCGAATTCACCTTCTGGCTTCAGATTATCAGAATGTTTAATCGGAGAACGTCGCTCTGCAGGACCAATTGATTTTTTTTCTGGTCGTTCGAAGTCGCCCTCCGGTCGCAAATTGTCTTGTGGCTTTTTGATATCAGCTCTTTCACCTTTCTTTGGCGTCTCATCTTTCGGTCTTGACAAAAATTCGCCTTCCGGTTTTAAATTGTCATGTGGTTTCTTTATAATTGGTCTTTCGGCAGGTTTGAATTTTTCAGGTATTGGTCTCTCGAACTCACCCTCTGGTTTTAGATTATCAGAATGTTTAATCGGGGTACGCTTCTCTGCTGGACCGATTGGTTTCTTTTCCGGTCTTTCGAACTCACCTTCCGGCCTCAAATTGTCTCTCGGTTTTTTCACATCAGCTCTCTCACCTTTTTTAGGCACTTCTTCCTTAGGCTGACGTACGAAATCGCCTTCTGATTTTAAATTGTCTTCTGGCTTTTTAATTTCAGGTCTCTCTGCTTTCTTGGGTGAATAATCGTCCTTCGGGCGACCTTCAAATGGACCTTCTGGTTTTAAATTATCACGATGTTTAACGACGTCCATGCGTTCACCTTTAACAATTTTAAAATCATCTCGCGTTCTTGTATCAATGAATTCACCTTCCATACGTAAATTATCTTGATATTTAGTAATTTCAGTTCTTTCGCGTATTAAGAAATCAGTATATTCGTCTCTGGATCTATATGTTTCTATATCTCCTTCCATACGCAAATTGTCCATGCGTTTAACAACATCCATACGTTCTCCACGCACTGGTCGATAATCATCCTTTGGTCGACCTTCGAATGGACCTTCCGGTCTTAAATTATCCGTTGGTCTCTTAACATCAGCGCGATCACCTCTTGTTGGTATAAAATCTTCTTTCGGTTTACCAATAAATTCACCTTCAGATTTGAGATTGTCCGAATGTTTCACTGGTGTTCGTTTCTCAGCTGGAGTGTATTTTTCAGGACGTGGTCTTTCAAATTCACCTTCGGGCCTTAAATTATCCACTGCCTTTTTGACTTCTGGTTTTTCTGCCGGACGGTAAACATCTTGTCGAGGTCGCTCAAATTCACCTTCTGACTTGAGATTATCTGGATGTTTTATTGGTGTTCGTTTTTCAGCTGGAGCGTATTTTTCAGGACGTGGTCTTTCAAATTCACCTTCGGGCCTTAAATTGTCCATTGGCTTTTTGACTTCTGGTTTTTCTGCTGGACGGTAACCATCGTGACGAGGTCGCTCAAATTCACCTTCTGACTTGAGATTATCTGGATGTTTTACTGGTGTTCGTTTTTCAGCTGGAGTGTATTTTTCAGGACGTGGCCTTTCAAATTCACCTTCGGGCCTTAAATTGTCCATTGGCTTTTTGACTTCTGATTTTTCTGCCGGACGGTAACCATCGTGACGAGGTCGCTCAAATTCACCTTCTGGCTTGAGATTATCTGGATGTTTTACTGGTGTTCGTTTTTCAGCTGGAGCGTATTTTTCAGGACGTGGTCTTTCAAATTCACCTTCGGGCCTTAAATTGTCCACTGGCTTTTTGATTTCTGGTTTTTCTGCCGGACGATAACCATCCTGACGAGGTCGCTCAAATTCTCCTTCGGATCTAAGATTATCCAGATATTTAATTGGAGTGCGTCTTTCGGCTGGACCAATAGGTGCTTTCTCTGGTCTTTCAAAATCGCCTTCGGGACGTAGATTGTCTTCCGGACGTTTTACTTCAGGACGTTCTGCACGCTTGGGCGAATAATCATCTTTTGGACGACCCTCGAATGGACCTTCTGGTCGCAAATTATCTTCGGGGCGTTTAACATTGGCACGTTCCCCTTTAGTCGGTCTGTAATCATCTTTGGGTTTTCCATCAAAGTCACCTTCTGGACGAAGATTATCGACATGTTTAACAGGCGTTCTACGTTCGGCAGGTTTAAATGGCTTGATTTCTCTGTCTGGAAATTCTCCTATTGGAAATAGATTATCCGGATGACGAACGATAGATGCTCTATCACCGGGACCATAAGGTATCGGCATAGGTCTTTCGAAGTCGCCTTCAGGATACAAATTATCCAGATGTCTGATAGGAGTACGTTTCTCACCGGGTATATATTGATCTTTGGGACGATCTGAAAAGTCACCTTCAGGTCGTAAATTATCTTTTGGTCGTTTCACTTCAGGACGTTCCGCTGTCTTCGGAGTAAAATCATCTTTTGGACGTCCTTGGAACAGACCTTCTGGTTTCAAATTATCTTGTGGTCTTTTAACATCAGCTCTCTCTCCTTTAGTTGGTCTATAATCATCCTTAGGCCGTCCTTCAAATGATCCTTCAGGACGTAAATTATCTTCTGGACGCTTGACTTCAGGGCGTTCGCTACGTTTAGGTGCATAATCATCTTTAGGACGCCCTTCAAATGAACCCTCGGGTCTTAAGTTATCTTCAGGGCGCTTGACATCGGCGCGTTCTCCTCTAGTAGGCTTATAGTCATCTTTAGGTCGTCCTTCGAATGGCCCTTCAGGACGTAAATTATCTTCTGGCCGTTTCACTTCATAACGTTCGCCGCGTTTAGGTGAATAATCATCTTTAGGCCGTCCTTCGAATGGCCCTTCAGGTTTTAAATTATCTATAGGTTTTTGTGGTTCTGGCTTGCGCAACAATATTGGTGTAACGTAATCATCCTTTGTATGAGGCAATGCTTCGAAAGGTCCTTCAGGCCTTAGATTATCACCTCTTTTAATAACTATGGTACTTTTATAATCTGCCTGATCAAAAGTTCGAAATTGTTCCTGAGTGGTAGTAGTACTATCAATAATATCTGTTTTGTTATAAAACCGATCGATGTCTTCAGGATACTTCGGTCGCCACTGAGATTCACGATCAATAACATGAGTTTGGAAATCTTCTTTGATATGAGAGGTTCCCTGTAAAATAATTTGGAAAATAATGAAGTCATATATATGGTCTTATAAATGATCTGATTAAAGTCGGAAAATTTTTATCATTAAAACTACTAACTGTGAATTCACCCTCTCCCACGGTAAGATTATCCGTTCGTTTAACGATTTCAGCACGTTGGATGCTACGGTGATCAATGTATTGCGATCGCGTCGTCGTTTCGTCAGTGAAATCACCCTCTATTTTCGTATAAGTATTGCGACGTATTGGGATCGGTCGTTCGCCAGGAGTGCCAGTAAAAACCAGCTCGGTCGTTGTTGTAGCTAGAAAATAAGAAAAATTTATTTATTTTTTTATATTGAGTATACAATTTTACAAAAAGTATATTTTTGTATATATAAGAATTCATTTGAATATCTGTTGAGAACCAAATTAATAACAAAAAAGTTTATTAATAAGTTCACGAACGGAATTAAGCAAGTATTTAAACTTACTGTCAAAATCCCCTTCGAATTTCAAGTTATCCTTTGGCTTCGTAATCGGAGCTCGTTCGCCATATTTCGGAGCTTCCTCTCGAGGCTTACCAATAAACTCACCCTCCGGTTTAAGATTGTCTTGTGGCTTCTTCACAGGTGCCCTTTCACCCCTTATAGGCGCCTCTTCCTTTGGTCTTCTAACGAATTCACCTTCAGGTTTGAGATGATCTTGTGGTTTTCTGACCGGCGCTCTCTCGCCTCTAGTAGCCACATAATCGGTTCGTCTCTGTCCGATAAATTCACCCTCCGTATGCAAGTGATCTTTATGATAATATTTTGTTTGCTTTTCTACATGTTTTTCATCATAATCCTGGCGATAGGAAGTCACAGTATGTAACGGTTCTTCATAAGAGAATTCCAAATGTTCTTGAGGCAAATTATGCAGGCAACGGTGACGTCTAAAATATTGTCATTTATTAGAATTTAGAAACAGATATAATGCTTGTGAGCATTACAATGTTTTTTCAGATCGCATGAGAAGTAACGTTTTGTGAAGCATTTAAAGTACTTAAAGAAAGGTATCTATTTTTAAACAGTTGCGTTCATATTTAAAAGCAGCAGTATGATAAAGTAAACGATACTGTATCCATTCTTATAACATTCATCCCTTCAGGGTATATCCCTGTTTAATATTAATAAAAGGGAAGAAAAGCGTTCGCAGAAAATTCTTGTTATCCGCTTTTGTATTCGTTCAAATAACGTTGATATTTAACAAAAGCTTGATGCATACAGAGATTTAAATATGACGCAGAAGGGTATCAATCCTTTTATGTTCTTAATGAGTATAAAGGTTTTGCGTCGTTTTGAATATCTTATTATTCTCGGAGTATTTGCAGCCATTATTATACGCGATGGATATAAAGACAAAATTGTGATTGTAATCTGTTCATTCGATACACGGCATTTTAAGGTATCGTGTCTTTTAATATTACATTTACATTATTAATTAAAAATATTTTATAAATGTCATAAGAGTTATAATAAGCTGAATAATTCATATATTTTATTTAGCAAGAATTAATTTAATATTTATTATAATTCAAGTATATTTCGTGTACATAATACAGTAGGAAAAGCCTTTATTAGTTAGATAACAGCATATTTTAACGAGATGCGTTTTCACGTAAATCGAATTGTTATTGGTACACACATATTTAATTAATTAAATATTCTTCGGCTTGATTGTAAGAATTAATTAAATTCTTTACAATTCAATTGCATTGGAAGTTTTAGATACCTTCATTTATAATTGAATATAATTCAGAATATATACTTAAGATTTTATCAAATGACGAATGACGTTTTTATCGATATTGATCGTATTAATTAATGAAAAGCTTTCACCTTTTTTGTGAAAGGTATGAATTACATCCTGCTGGTGAATGCTTTTAATGCAATATTGGTTAGTTACCATAAAATATAGTATAGAAAAAAGAAAAATAATATTATTGCCAATATTTTATTCAAAGCAACTCAACTTATTTGGACACCAGCATTTCATATGAGAGGTCCTACTTTTGTGTAACTACATCGAGCAACATCAAAATTCGTTCTCATAATTCTTTTTCGCTTTTTTTCTATACCGTTGGGTATTACGAAAATCCAATTCCGTAAAAGCCAGACTTGGTCAAAGTCGAGTAGCATCATGTATTTTTTATTGGATAAAACCATGTTATGTGACACATTATGAACATTCCTTTAGAGTCGCGTTAAACCAGAAGAGAGAAGTTTTAACAGACCTCAAAGTTAAGCAGACTTACGTAGAAATTTCCAACAACTAATCGCCTATGAGTAGACGAACCGCAATTACTTCTTGAGACGGTCACGACGCGACTAATTTTCTACGAACTTATACTTCTCGCAAATTTATCTGCACTACGAATCTATTTAGGTCAAGATTTTCAATCTGACAAGATTGAATTTATGTAGATATATATATGTGTGTGTGTGTGTGTGTGTGTGTGTGTGTGTGTGTGTGTGTGTGTGTGTGTGT